ACATCGCGTGTTTTGTTTCATCCACCACTAAATATTTCATACACCTTTATGAGAGTTCAAGGGGTGTTCCGATTGGCCTATAATTGAAAGGGTAAGAGCAAAGTCAATTACCATTCCAAGTAGAAATGACGTATGCCAACAGATAAGTGAAGCAGTTTTACTTCCCAATAATGATAAGTGATGGGATTTTGCGTCCCGAAACAACGATATCAAAATGAGGGACGCTGTCGCGGAAGGTTCCGGAAGTATCGACCACCTGGGGTTCTTCAACGTGCAGTGACATCGAAAAGTACAGGCAGTACAGATATCGTGCAGTACGTGGAAGGACAGCTCAGGTGATCACGAACTAAAGGAAGGAACATACACAGACGAAAGCACTCTGGCAAAATTTTATATTATTATTATTATTATTCTTATTAGTATTATATTATTATTATTAGTTATTATTACATACATACCTGCATATATACATCAATTGGGGGGGTCACATGTCAATTTCAGCGCACTGACAAATTGAAGAAAAACATTTCTTTTTCTGATAACACTATCGACCGTGTGCTTACACATTACGCCACGTCGACGTTTATGGTCTTTGCTTCGATGATCGGCCAAGTGCACTCATCTTTGTGGCGACTGATTACGATACATCTTAAATACATAGGTGAACAAAAACAGTAATTACGAAGTGTGGACACTTTCGCCACCATCGAACCCACGACTTTCGATCGGGTCAGCAGCCGAATAACCACTGCACCACAGAGGCTGACAGTATACGACGCGAACACGGTTTTCACGCCGAGTCGGCATAAATAAATGCTTCATCATCATCATCATCATCATCATCATCATCATAATCAGCCTGACTACGTCCACTGCAGGACAAAGGCCTCTCCCTTGTTCCGCCAGTTAACCCAGTCCTGTGCTTGCTGCTGCCAATTTATACCGGCAAACTTCTTAATCTCATCTGCCCACCTAACCTTCTGTCTCCCCCTAACCCGTTTGCCTTCTCTGGGAATCCAGTTCATAATGCTTATGCGCATTTAAAAGTGATACCTTTTCTGAGCCGTTTTCGGTGCTCGTCGAGGCGCGCGTATCAGGCGGCATAATTCCCTCCCATATCTCAGCCTTTTTCTATTGTCGGCCGGCCGAAAGCGTAATGTGGTCGTCAAGAAGAAGAAGAAAAAAAAAGGAGGTCTTCCCGTCATTTCCGCGGTGATGTTCACCCGGAAGCCAAGAAGAAGGGACCGGACACACGAGGAGGAGGAACGCACGGGCATGCACTCCACACTGACGACCTCAATCTCGCGGGCGCTAATGACGCGCCGCAACTGCCGAAAACTGACCGAGCGGCATTTTCAAACTTGTCCCTTTCTTTCTCCGGCGTTCGAAGCGAGCGTCGAGCAGCGCATAACGCGCACAGAGAGCCGGAGTGAGTCGTAGAATCCATTTGGAGGTCAAGGATATATATATAGGTGTAAAAAATGAACTCGATAGTCAATTGCAACGTAAAAAAAATATCTGTAAATATTACGGTGCCTCTGGCTGACGTTATGGAAAGGACGGGCTTTCTTTCGCCAGTAAGCTTACGATAGCTTTGTGGTTTTACGCATCCGAAACAACCCGCCGCGGTGGTCTAGTTGCTAAGGTACTCGGCTGCTGACCCGCAGGGCGCGGGTTCGAATCCCCGCTGCGGCGGCTGCATTTCCGATGGAGACAGAAATGTTGTAGGCCCGTGTGCTCAGATTTGGGTGCACGTTAAAGAACCCCAGGTGGTCTAAATTTCCGGAGCCTTCCACTACGGCGTCTCTCATAATCATATAGTGGTTTTGGGACGTTAAACCCCAAATATCAATCAATAAACGCATCCGAAACCAGCAGGCCGCAGTGGAGGGCTCGAGAAATTTCGACCACCTGTGGTTTTCGTTTTTTCCGCGCACCCAAATCGAAGCACACACACGCCTCTATAACATTTCGATTATAATAAAATGCGACCTCCATGGCTGGAATCGAACCCGCGCCTTTCAAGTTAGCAGCACAACACCGTCTACTCATCAGCCAAGCACCGATGAGACTTCCGTGCTCTTCGTTAAATTAACCCGACACCCTCAGTCGGTTGAATTGGAACTTGCCAGCGCCGCCCCGCCGCGGTGGTCTGGTGGCTAAGGTACTCGGCTGCTGACCCGCAGGGCGCGGGTTCAAATCCCGGCTGCGGCGGCTGCATTTCCGATGGAGGCGGAAATGTTGTAGGCCCGTGTACTCAGATTTGGGTGCACGTTAAAGAACCCCAGGTGGTCTAAATTTCCGGAGCCCTCCACTACGGCGTCTCTCATAATCATATAGTGGTTTTGGGACGTTAAACCCCAGATATCAATCAACTTGCCAGCGCATGATCTCGTTCAGTCACCCTCGACATCCCTGCTTTTATACGTGCTCAGACTTGACCGCCTCGATTTAAATGACCTCGCGAGCTCACCATCCCTTTTAATCACTTCGCATAACATTATTACCTTAAGTATAGGTTCTGATTGTGCGATTGATATTTTTACTTTGCGTGTAACAAGGTACTTGCTTTAAAACAAACAAAAAAAACTACCCAGTGTCAACGGTGGTTCTATGCCAATTCTGTTAGGGTGCACAAACGATAACTACGGGAGGAGTTTTAACCAACTAAACAGTCAAATGACGCCTTTTCGACCAGGTTTAATCGTTTCCCACCAGAATCGCGTCGAATGCATATCAACTTGGGTCCGACAGTTCCCACTCGCCTAATGACGCACACAATGCCACGAGCATCCATTTTACAAGCGGGTGGGTACGGAACAAAGTTTGAAACGTGCAGCTGTTCACGTAATGGCGGCACTACAATCGGTATAGGTGTTTTTTTTTTTAGGTAAACACTTCATATGCCATGCGGCCGAAGCGAAATTCCAGTTGAAGCCTAGCGATCATCCTGTGTTACATTGTTCGTCCCTGCTTGCCGGTAAAATGTATTCAAATCGAAACCAGCCAGCCCAGCGAAAGTCAGCGAACTATAAACCTACTGCACCGGCGATGCCCGTGAATTATGTTATCTCGATTGCTCTCACGCAGAGAAAAGCAAACTGCCAGTGCCAAGGTGAGCGACACGTGGACGGCCACATTCGTTCGGAGTGCTCGACAGGTGGGACCTCGGAGTCGAGCAAACAATGTTCCAGCCTGGCTACGCTTTACGGTATAGCTTATCGAAGGAAGGCTTGGGACTGGCCAGTCGCGTATATTGAAACGCGAGCCGCGCGCGCCCCTACGCGAACCGGGCAGCTGCTGTTTGTGTGTATGTACGTTCAACGCAGCTCGCCAACAGGTACAAAGAGCGTTCCACACTAGCCGCAATGGCAACAGGCGGCGCTGACTGACGCTCCCAAGTAGGGTGCCTCGATGCGCGCCCCAGCTCATCAACGCACTCTACTCACAAGTTTAAATGCACACATAAACCCTATATATAGTGGACGTGGATGACCTCCGCCGTAGCTCAGTGGTATACAGAGCATCTAACGCGTTTTTCGAAGGTCGCAGGCTCAGATCCTGCCAGTGGCAAGTTATTTTTTTTTTGGTCCACTTGTCTTTCTTCACATTTACGTTACAATTATTTATTACAACATCTCCTATACTTATCTTCGCATCACTGCTAGTTCTCATTAATGTGGTGTCTAGCAGAGATAACGAACCCTTAAGTTTGCACTTATTTCCTACGTATAGGCTGTCGGACGTAACTTGCACCAAAACGAAGAATCCACAGAACCCGGATAACTGACAATTCGATGTTGTTTGTCAATCTTCCATAAACTCAAAATATTTTTTGTGTACTTCACCTAGTTGCATAATATAGCTGCGATTATTTTAACCAAGATGCTATATATTACAGTTAAAAAAATTATCCGACCTGGTATGTTGATCTGTGTACGCGTAGGTTTGTGTGCACAGTAAAAACCCCCCTCCCTCCTTTCACCCACAAATAATCTGAGGAATGCCCCAAGTCTACCCCACACCGCCTGTCACGTGGTTCTAAGTTCGATCGTGGCTACAGATGTTGCATTGCAAAAGCTCTCTACCTGCTATCTTTACCAATTGAAAGCTGAGTATACTAAAGACGGGTTGCTGGAAAAAGTAAGTCATTGTTTTTTTTGTTGTTGTTGTTGTCATCCACAGCGAGGCTTACTTTGTTTCGAACTCAACCAACGGAAGAGGGGAGGGGCAGCGGAAAAAGCCTGCCCGAGACTGCGTCGAAGGCCGTCACTTGCCAAACCTCACCGCAACTTGATCGACGCGCAAGACCAAAATAAAACCTGACAAGGCCACCGATAAGGAGACAACGGCAATCATTACCCGCTGCTTGGTGAACTGGTTCCTTTTTTTTCATAAACGTCGTCCTGACACGAACCTTTTGAAGAAATAACCAAAATTTGCGCGTGTTATTGATACGACAAACGCGAACTGCAGGCTGTATACGTCACTAGTAAATCGACGCGGAGGAATATGCATGAGGAACGTCGTGAAGGTATTCGGATTACCTTTACATGCCTGCTGTTCCTTGACGCGCGCGGCACAGAACGCCAGCTTTTCGTTTTTTTGCTTCCCAATTCCGCCCCCTCCAAAAAGCGCCCGCCATGTCAACAGGAATCGAGTGCTTTACTTCGAGCTCAACTCAGTCACACAGCGGCGATTAAAAACACACCTTTGCGTGATCTCAGGGAAGTGTAGCTGCACCGACCAAAAAAAATAATGATCATCCTCTGAAGAGCAATACACAACCACCGTCGTCCTCAAACGGTATCCGGTACAATAACGTCACACGCGACTAACCAATTAAACGATTCGACCCAGTGGGAGTGCGAACGAACGCGAACTTGCAAAGTAAAAAAAAAAAATCGGAAGCACCATACATGAAAACAACTGTCATTAAACGGCCTTAAACCGCAATGAAATCATTCGAAGGAGTAGGGAAAGTGTTGACGAACACTTACTCTTTTCCGGGTTGCCATTTGGCCGAACGGCTGCAGAGACCGGCACCCATGTCTGACCACCGGAGATGTGAACGCGTAAACGGAGACAAGTTGACGACGAGGTCAGTCGTCCGTTGGGCTGTGCGGTGACTAACACGGCGGCGGCTCAACAGCGGAAACTGCGTGCAGCAGACGCGCACCCACGCCGTACGGGATCCGGCACAGTTTTTTTTTTTTTCTTGAAGTCTGCAGACGCGACGGTCAGTCCACTGAAAACGTTGACTCGTTTCTTGGGAAGGATGCCAGGCCACTACTTCAACACCGATTGACGTCAGACCACACGAAGCAACCGAAAGAGCAGCTCTAGTGCTTCCGACGAACCTCGGGCAGTCAGGATGACGTGTGCTCGATGAATTGACCACTGGCTACTACCGCTTGCGAAGTTCCAAAAGGACCCGTTTCGTATATTCCGGCTACTAAAGAACTCGCAACACCCTCTGAACGAATACACAACGGACTGCACCGTTGCTCGCAGAGGGTAGGCGGTAGGAGCAGCGCGATTCGGAGGGTTTACCGGGCTTGAAGACTGAAAGGACAATGCGAGCCTTCGAACGGGTCCAATCGCTGCCGCACTTCGCAGATGTGGCACCACTTTCGTTAAACCGAGAAGGAGCTAGATGGGCGTGCCTTGGTATTCGTCGATTTAAAATCAAAACTTATCAAAGTGACAGATAAGTTTGTAGTTCCAACGTCACGGAGCAAGCTCAATGGCAATGTCCCTGTCGGTCACCGGAGCCACAGAACGCAAAAGAAACCCGCGCGCGTGCGCACAGACGAAACTCTCCACTGAAGATTGGGCCACGCTGATAGGAGTACGGGGAGAGAGGAGGTTAGGTTGTGAAGCGGCGATGACGGTTACGTAGGCAACCACGCTTGCAAAAGCACATACACGCACACTGCACTAGCCGTGCACGTTGGTGATGGAAGAGCGAGCGACACAACAGCCTCGCGCAAGTATAAGCACCGTAGTTGTGTCGTCTGTCGAAAGGACGACGTTGTAGCAGACGACGCGGCGACCGACCGGATAGAGAGCGACTAGCGGAGTCGACTCCAGGCGACGTAATAACGCGCGGAACAGCGGTCCGCAAAGCAAAATTAAACGCGGCGCGCCGGCCGCAAAAAGCAATCCACCACTGGCCGCGCTGCACGACGCAAACAGCGGTAAAAATACGAGTCGAAAGAAAAGGGGAAAAAAAATGCGGAACCAGTTTCTGTAGGGTGTCAAAGCCGTGCGCTAACGCTGCGCGGAAGTGTTGTGTCCTTCCCCCACCCTCCTTCTTTCTCGGACCCTTCTTTCTCAACCTCCTCAAAACTGCCGGACCTTTGCAAAGCGCGACCTGATCTTGCAATGTGTGAGAGAAGAGGGGGAGCGGCAGCGGAGATTAATAAAGTGAAAGTTTAAACGAAACGCGAGCCGTCGACAGAGAGACACGCAAACCTGCTACAGGAGGTCCCGAGATGCTGCCCCGCTCAAGTCTAACGGGTTAAAAAGAGAACATCACAGTAACAGAATCGGCTACGCAGTTACCGGAGGAGAGAGGCGACAACACACTTTTGATACGAGGAGGCGTGACGAATCAATTGTGGCCGCAGCAACTGCCACCGGCAGCAGCAGCAGCCCCCCACTTCTTCTTGATGTACTTTCTTTTATTTCCCCTGGCGGAAATAAAGCCGCGCAAAACTAAACACCTCTCTCGCGGTAGTCACGCGAGAGAGTGACGCGCGTGCCGCGGACGAAGGATGCATTCATTCCACACTACGCGAGCGCGCTGCAGAGCGCCCCGCTAAAGCTACCGGTGTCAGTGCGTGAGCTGTCGGGAAAAGAAGCCCGAAACGTCGTGAAAGCGGAGGAGTCGAGGACTACAAAAACAAAATGGGAGGAGGAGGGGGGACGTACTTTATTTCCCTTTTTTTCTTGTTGTTCTGTTATGCTCTAACTTTCTGCATCACGATCCATTCAGCACAAAAGCGGAAAAAAAAAGAGGTGCCAGCAGAAGCGGCACGTGTATAGGGTCCGCATTGTGTGAGCCTGCAGGCGTGTGATTCGGCGTTTACACCTGGTGAAGAGAGAGTCCTCAAGGAGGGATAATTCTCGGTGGAGTTATGTAGTGCAGCCCCAGTCATTTTGGCGGAAAACGAAACTTTGGGGTGATCGCGTTCATTTGAAGGTGATCGCGTTGTGAATTTTTTTTATTGAGCGACACGTCATGAAAGAACCCTAAATGCATGTACAAATGTTGCACGCACGGGCACGTGTCAAGTATTTGCAGATATTTATATAAAGTTGCTTGCACTTGCGCAAGAATGCTAACAGGAGCGTGAGCATTAGCAACGCCAGAAGCGATAAGATTATATGAAGCGATGGTGCACACTGTGGTGGTAGCTCTTCATACTGCTACATAAATCAACTTTAGCGCATAACAGCTAACTACAATTGACGTTAACCCGACGTGACGGCTGTGTCATAAGAGTGCGTATTTAATGCTTATAAAATTTCATAGCCAGAACTGCAACCACGATTGGCATTTCACGTGCATTAAGGTTTATTTTAAAGGTAGTTCCGAGACCTGGCGGTAGAATGTTTGATTGCCACGAGGAATACTTGGGTTCGAGTCGTACAGAGACCTTGACATTTATTCTTTACAGTCGTAAGGTCAAAGCTTCCAATGTCAGTTTTGGGTTAACGCTCACGCGTTAAAATCGCCCACCTGTTTCATTGTCGTTTCTGGACAGATACTAATTGTCAATCACCTAGGCACACACCCGCATACCAGTAGAACATACCCGCCCTCAGTTATGACGACGTACGCGACGGGATTGTGACATTATGTCTTGACCAGCGCGTCATATTCGTCAAACCATCTTTACCCTCCCATACTAATTTTGGTTCACGTCAAGTTAAGGGGGTGATATCGAGAGCACCCAGACGTGAGCGGCTAAATACATACGCAGATAGACGCCAAAAGTGCTTGCAGTACGGAAATTATAAAATTGCTAGGCCTGCGCAAAACACGCTGCACAGTCACAGTGAAAGCTGAAAGAACCGCCTTCCTAGAGCCAGTTATGAAGTCGCATAGAGCGACAAACGACCACTTCGGTAGTAGTGGCTATTGGGTGTATTTGGAGCACCTACTACTACAACTACCATTTTAGGAGCGAAGCTCCTTAAGGCGTGGGCTGTGCGTCCCCTGTATGTAGCCACCTCTCGTTCAGTTCTTGCAGTGTTCACTAGATGGCGGTACTTGTAGCTGACGGCATTAAGTATTACGCTAGCCACCGCCCGATCTAAAGGGTACAGCCATATCCATCCGTCCGTCCGTCCATCCGTCCGTCCGTCCGTCCCATCCATCCGTCCGTCCGTCCATCCGTCCGTCCATCCATCCATCCATCCAAAAGATGCAAGATGTTATAAACTAGACGGCGGTACGTGTAGTTGATTATGAAAGATGCGAGGTGTTATAAAATAGGAATGATGCCACATATGGCGCGTGTCATCGTTCGATATAGTGCGGCGACGTACGCTAGGGGGAGCGTTGCAATAAAATCGAGTGGGCAAAATGTACGGAGGATTCATGGCTTACCAGGTTTACCTCCGGAGCTTCGCCCACTCATCATCATTCACTTCGTGGATGTGGCGGCACTTTTTAGCACCCCTTTCTCTTTACTGTAGCCAGTGAGACAATTGATTGAGACCGGCCTGTCAGCTTTTCTCTCATAATAAACCTCTCTCTCTCTTTCTAGGATTAAGCACCTAAGATGTCCCTGTGAATGCATTATGGTGTTATAGCGTTTGTGGTGCTTGTCTACTATTGATCCTTTATCAATGTTTGTTGATAAAGGATCAATATCCCCACCCCCCTCGTCATCGCGTTGTATACCGTGCACGACTTATGTGCAATCCTGTGCAAACCTCAGGGCAGGTTGTCGATTTCCTGAGGTACTGCACGCCTCATCGCCCCAAGAATCTCGCGCAGCATGCAGTATACCACGACTCTGTATGGCACCGCTCAGCGCCCGATCCGACACTTTTCTTTTTCTATTTTCTGTTAATGCGAGAACCTTATATGGCCCACCAAATTACGAGATCGACTGTCGGCGTCGAGGGCGAGTTATTAAAAAAATACCACGTGATGACGTAAACGATGACATCATATGACAGATTTTTCGACGATTCGTGACGTAACGCCCTATTATGACGTTGTCATTACGTGACATCATATCTTGGTTAAATGTGGACTCATCACGGAGGCAGCGCAAAACCACTCCAGGTGCAGAAAGTTGAGTAAATATTTTGTAGATCAACTAGATGATAGCAAGTGGATCAACTCAGTAGTGAAGAGAAAGATGGCAACTGCGTCCCAGTAATCTTAAGCAAATGAATACGGGATCCTGTGAGCTTTGTGGTAACCTCGCCATAGTGACCGTAACGAAAGATCACCGCGGGTTCAGGCTTAGCGAGCCACAGGGCCGTGTCTCCGTCACCTGCTCACGTGTAGCGCACCGTTCCGCACACACGGAACTAGCAAAGCGTTTAGCGTGCCTTTGCGCGGCAAAACAGAAGGTCCGTTCGATTCGCCTGCACCACATGAAGCAGTTCACGAGGTGCTGAACCTTGCCATTCGTTTCAGTGGTGCAACATTGACGACCTACGAACCCTACCATTCGTTTCGAAAGGTGCAGTGCTGGTTCACGGTTTTCCTGCACCTCCTATATGCGCTCGCGGTGCCGGCTTGGTGCAGCCGCACGTGCAGCTGAGCAGATGATGCAGCACTTTTGGCATAAGGTCCGTTCGATTCACCTGTGCTGCGCTTCATGCCGATCGACCGACGATGTCGGCCGAGCAGCGATCCCGAAATGAACTCTTAGCACACTGCTACTGTCATCCCCATCCCCTGAGATCTTTAAAATGGTGATATTTATCTGCAGTAAAGTATCATAAAATAAAACTGTTTTCTGTATCAACTGATCTGCTAGCCGAACTGACAGTACCCCCAATCAGCATAAAAGACTTGCAGATCATTTTAGTTCGAAAAAAAGTTTCCTTGCAATTCATGGCTTGTCATCGTCCCAGTCACGGTTACCAAAAACAAACAAAAAAAACTTCTAAAGCACTGACAGTGCACGGAGAGGTGCTTTTCAACGGATCGGTACGAAAATGCGCGCGTGCCACTGCTAACCCGCGTGATGCGTTGAACCAGAAGCCGTCGTATCCCACAGTTCCCTGCGATTGCCCATATTACCGGTCACCTATTGATTAAGACCTGCCTGTCAGCTTTTCTCTCAACATAAACCTCTCTCTCTCTCTTTAGGATTAGGCACCTCGGATGCTTTAGAAAGCAAAGAATGTCCCTGTGATTGCCTTATGGTGTGATAGCGTTTGTGGTGCTTGTCTATTTTTGATCATTTATCGATGTTTGTTGATGAAGGATCAATATTCCCTCGCCATCACGTTGGATACCATGCATGACTAACGTGCAAGCCTGTGCAAACCTCAGGGCGTGTTGTCGATTTCCTAAGGTACTGTACACCCCATCGCCCCAAGAATCTCGCACAGCATGCAGTATACCACGACTCTGTGTGGCACCGCTCATTGCCCAATCCGACAC